AGCTTCTCGCCGAAAACACGGAACAGCCCGTGTGGCGTGTAGTTACTGTCGCTGCTTCTTTGGCTCAGCCAATGGCGGAGCTGCTTTCGCTTTGCCTTGGAGGGAACGGGCGAGAAGGCCCCGCCGCTCTGTGGATGGCAGGGAAGTGTGCTGAACGGAGCCTCCTCGCAGCCACCTGTTATGAAAGACGTTCACTCCCCTGCGTGATCTGTGGGGAAAGGTGCCGGTTGCCGGAGATGAGCAGTCTTCCAGGCATCAGATTCAGGGATCGCTGAGTTCTTATGTCCTTAATTCACTTTTTAAGAATGGTTATTCAGAGCCAGTTTGATGTAGTGGTTAAGGCACCAGGCTAGAAACTTGGAGACTGTGAGTCCTAGTCCCGCCTTAGGCACGAAGCCAGCTGGGTGACCTTAGGCCAGTCCCTCTCTGTCAGCCCTGGGAAGGCTTGCAATTGCCACTTCCAAAAATTTCATTTACTTGAAAGACCAGTTTATTGTGAACAAAACTTTAACAATAATTTTGTATGAACCAATAGGGTACAATAGAAGAACATCAACAAATTTTCCAAGTGCTTAATTGTAGAAGGATTGCCACAAGGCTGTCAATAGTTCTCTTTTTGTTCCGTTTTATAGATATGAGTTATCTCCCCTTCTTTTTCTTCTGCCTGCCGTTAGGAACTGCCCAGCTAATCCTTTGTTTCAAATCCACAAAAGCAACAAGCTACCATTTCAACAGACTTCTCTTTGTGTTTCTGGCCAGCTCCATAGTCCATTTTATTTTATTTTATATCTTATTCTTTTCATTACAAAAATGGGAAGCTACTGTGCAGGAGAGCCGAGGGGCAATCTCTAGCAAAATCTTGATTTCTAAGGATGCTTCTGCCCTGCAGGCCCCAGAGGTGCTCTTTGAAAACAAAAGGGGCTTCAGCCAGCATCTTTCTTTGGTCATGTGACCACCTGCCCCTGCCCCCAAAGTCAGAGGGAAGCTTAGGGGGAAGAGGGCATTCTGGGCAGCTCCAGGGAATTGTGGGACACCATATTATCGGGGGGGGGGGGGTTGCCTTCTGGTAAATGAATACTTGTGAATGGCTATGCTTACCATGTCAGCCATTTTGTGGCAATTCTGACAACGTGCTGTCAGTGTTCCAGATGGGCCATGTTAAGTTATATTTCTTGAAGTCTGGAAGAAAAAAAAAAGCAACAAAAAACAACAATTTGATGATGCCCTTAGAAAATGTAATATAGTTAGTCACAGTAAAAGACCATTCTGGAAAAAAATATTAGACTTATGTCTGAAAATATTAGACTTAGGTCTGAAAAACAGTGTGTGTGTATGTATGTGTGTGTACACATACACATACACACACACACACACTTACATACACATAACATGACATGACAAATGGTGCTTCCAGGTTGCTCGCTGTTAGTGCTTCCATTCTTTTTTGGGAGGGGCGGGTTGATACAGCTATTCTGTTACACTCTCTTAATAGTTTTCCTTTACAGCAATATTACTACTAAAAAAACAGACAGAACAAATAGTAGGAAAATCTGACTGGATTACAAGTGGAAAAATATCTCTATAAACTTCCATGAATGAGACAAGGAGAGCGCACAACCAAATTCTAATCTGGAAGCCCCAGAGGTGGGGAAATGAAACATTCAAAGTACAAAGAATGATTTGTGGGAACTTTGCCCTTTTCCTGAGAAGCCCCTTCCCAGAGAAATTCAGACACAAATTTTCCCTTCTAAAGGTTAAGTGTTAAGTGATTCTCCCTGCCAACTCTGTGAATCTGACTTTGGAACCACCTCTTGATTATCCCTGTTGTATGGTCCTCCCTGCTACTCCCCAGTTATTCCCTTGGCCCCAAGCCTGACCCAGTGCCCACAAGAGTTTAATTTCTTAAATTCGTGCTATAACTATGGCAAAATCCTCCTTATTAGAGCTTTCCAAACAGGCCAGACCTTTACCAGAGTCAATTTTTCATATCTTTTCATATCTCCCCTTCCCCACTAAACTCCATCTCAGAGCAGGTCACTCTTTGGAAGGGAATCATAACATTCAAGATTGTGCTTATTCCAGTGGTGCAGAAAAGACTAAATAAAATACAGTGCCCAGGAGAGCATTCATTGAGCAAAGTGAGGCATAGAGCTTCATTGGCATGGGGTGCTTCACTCGGGTGCTTCAAAAGCTGCCCCCTCTTTTCTCTGCATGTGCATAGAGAGTAACTGCACAAATACACCGGCAAAGGTGGCAGGGAGCAGCTTCTAAAACAGCCAGGTGAGCTTGAAAGAAAGAAGCTTTAATGATCAAAAAGGAATGTTTTGGGCCTCCTGCTTGTTCCAAAGCACCTCTTTCTAAGGATTTGCATAACTCTAAAATGTATCCAAATAAATGCATATATAGAGAATAAAAATCACCTAAACACAGTAACTGCTCACGTCACAAAACAGCCATCAGTACATCATCTGTGACAACCAGTAAAGACAACCTTCCTTCTACCTAACCTGCATGTCCCTCTGTCGACCTTCAGTGGATGAGCCTGGGTTCTAAAATTACTTGTCCTTTTTCTTATTCTTTATTGTAGAATCATTGTAGCTGTTCTGCATATGAATGTTGAGACACGCATATTACTAGAGACTTGAACGCAGGGTATTTGCAAGTATTTTCTGCTCCAGCTTAAAAAAGCAAATCTTTATGCTAACCTAGTCTGTGTGTGCAACTCAAAGTTGTAACCTGAGAAGCTTCCACTACTTACAAATACCATCATCACCCTACTTATGAAGAATTCAGGGACTTGGCCAATTATTACTGAACACTCTTTAGCACCCTTTACCCCCTCTTCATCAAGGAACCTCTACATCTACATAGCATCTGTTAATAGTTAATCTGCTGTAGTATAAATTGGATCTCTACAGCAAAGCAAGTACTGTATTAAAGAGACCGGACCAGACTGAATACTGATATAGGAGGGGAGGAGAAATTGTGGAGCTACCCTAAGGAGACCTGGTTTGCTGAAGGTGAGCAGGTGACACTTGGACAGAATATTGGTGATTCCAAAGGGAAAATTCTGGGTTATATTGAAAAGTGGCCTGAAAGGGAGGAAAGAGAGGCTCATTACAGCTGGAAGGAGAGAAGCTGCACTGGCTTGTGGCCTGTCTCTTGGCACGGACCTTGGATAAGTTTGTTGTTTTGATGAGATAGAGGGCACCTCAGTTTGGAGATGACAGGAAGGCATGGACAAGTAGACTCTCATTCAGGTACTTGTCTCTATGTCTCTTGGTTCTACCCATCAGCTTCCAGACCCAAAGCTATGTCGATCCTATCCTGTCCTTTCAAACTGCGCCAGCTGGAGGAAATGCTGAGGAAGAGTCTTCCTCAGGCACTTGCGGTAATTCTGAAACATTTATTAAAATATGGGAGTAGATTCCTGACAATATCCTCATTTTTCCAAAACTTAACATTTGGCACTCAAAAGCAATAAAATATATCACATTTTTGCTTACATTTGCCAAAAATTTGGAAGTGCAAGAAACAATTTCTTGAAAATACTTATATCTAATACATGATCCATGCAACATAGTATATGTTGTAGAATCATAAAGATACACAGGTATACTCAGCCAGATGCCCTTAATGGGTGTAGATCCCTGGCAAGTGGAGGTTGTTTCTGCATAACAGGTGAAATTCCTTCATCTTATTCAGCAAGAAAAAAGTAATTCTGGAATATTATCAATATTTGGGGGGGGGGTAGAACATAAGGTGAAAGTTGATGCAGCAAATCACATCTAAATTAATGCCACTCTCCTTTTCTCCACACATTGATCTCAGACTAACTCCCATACCTGCACTGCATGACTGCACTGACCCTTGACTCTTGACAGGTCCATGGAGTAGTCATGAGCATAAATCGGGGGAATCCAATTGGACATGAGGTGATTGTGGATTCATGGCCAGAGTTCAAAGCTGTCCTCACCCGACCACGCAAAGAGGTAATAAATAGCCTTTGGTGGTTCTGCGGACGGGAGGGAGGGAGGGAGGGAGGAGGGAAGGAAGGAAGGAAGGAAGGAGCCAGGGAGGGAGAAGAGGAGGGAAGAAATGTTATCTAGGAGTCCTTAGCCAGCCTCAAATGGATAATCTAAGGATCATCTGCTTTTTTCGAGGAGGCCACCTTTGGCCTTTCCAAACAAGAAAATATTACATAGATGAGGTTATTCCCATCATTTCATCTCCACATTGGGAGAAAAATTGCCTGGTAAATGGTTGATGTGAGAGACATGAGGAAGAGGTGAATCAAGGGATTATATATAAGCCCCGTGCCTTTCTTCTAGATTGTCACAGAACCCTCCGATGTGTATGGCAACGTGTATGCAGCATTTTATCAGGATCTGGATGTGTATCGGAGGCTTCTAAAGGATACGGATGCTGTGAACTGGGCCCACACCTTCCGACTCCTTGGTAACAGTCCTTTTTGAAGGAGTGAAGTAAAGACACTGAGTTCTCAGATAGGTCTTCTACTACAGTATATATGCAGTGACATCATAATTAAAATAGCTCAGACGTTCCTGAGTAATTACCACTGAATTCAGAAGAGAAAAAGAACATGATTGCATGTTCCCTTCCTACATTACTCCAACCACTAAGTGCACAGTGATGTTATCAGCTTCTGGCAACATTTTGTTTATTGTAGCTTTAATACTTTGCCTGTTCCTCTACCAGTGTGGACTGGATCCATCTCAGCAGCTTGTATGACCCTCAAATCAAAGGAAACATACATCTAGAGTAAGCTGCAGGAATGGTAGGTTGGATTGATCCAGACTGTGATCCTGGCGAAACAGAGGTTCTTTACTAAACCCCTGTTGTTATCCTGGTCTCCACTGAGGGAGGGTAACAAGTGTGCAATGGAAGAAAGCCTCAGAATTAATTTTCCTTCTAATACAAATAACAGGCATTCTCTCCTGCTCTTCTGGATCATGACGACGGTAAAGGTCCACGTGTAGTTTCCCTGTCCCCATCCTACCTAGATGCCAGTCTGTATCACCCCAATTCCCCAACCTGATGCCCTGTATCTGCTACTTAAAACAAATCTGTTTCCTGCCTAGTTGGTTCTTCAGATGAGCTGCTGAGGTGGTAACTTGGATGTACACCTCTGACATCCTGCCTGTTTGTTCTCCCAACTCAAGCACATGGCCTTTTCCCGGTACACAAGTATTTTATTGTTTTCTTCAGGGATTCAAGAAGGGATACCTGAAGCTACTCAGGATGCAGCAGTTGCCAAGCAAACACAGTTATCTACAACTCCTTTCAGCGTCTATGTGGTTCCTGATCCAAATAAAATCTATGCTCCTGGGTGAGTGACCATCATGTTGGCCATCACCACTCTCATAGAGGTGAGGCCTGATGCAGAAGGGCATTCTGAGGCTGTGATACAATCAGGTTCCCATGGTCAAGCCTGTTATTCATCCTTGAAGTCTGCATTCACATTGCTTATGGGCCAATCAGGTACTAAAATCAGCAGAATTCCTGTAGGACACATTGATTCCTCCAGTAACAGAGAGACAAGGCCATACAGGGGGTGAGGTATAGCAGGAAGCCTGTCTAGAAAAGATAGAAAAAAAATGTAATAGACATGATAGCCCTTGAAAAAAACATTCATAGTGTAAAAGTGTGAGCTTTTGGGTTTTCCTGAAGGCTTGCCTTCCTGAAGGCAGAATGTCAGAGGAATAATGCTAAAGCAAATTTGATCAGCTGTTTCAAGTGCTGCAGTAGAAAATCAGTCTAAGGTAGATTTTGTAGACATTGCATATTTCATAAAGTGAAAGTTTATCCATTAGCAAAGATCATGATATAGGATCACATTTCCTCATTTCGGTCTTCTTGCCTGTTCAAAGCCCAGTTACTCTGGCCTCTGGGGAAAGAGGATCTGAAACTCCCATCTCATAAAAATGAAATGTTTGCATCTTGTTCATTATTGCTTTATAGTAAATGAGACACTGGGAATGCTTTCTCATCATCATGGGTAGCATTTTTTTAAAAGGGCAAGCCTGTGTTGGCAACATGGCAACCAAAAATAGAATTCTGCACTTTGATGGAGAAAAACGGAATCAATTCATGATTCTGCACTTTTACAGAAACAGAATTATCATAAATCGTGCCCTGGATAAGCAGCTCTCCTTCTTGGGAATAACTCACAGTTGTCTGGCTGGCCAGTGTTGGACTAAATGGATACACTGACAGCGTAATCCTCTGTTCTCATTTATTTGGCTGTGTTCTTCTTGCCTTTCGTCTCTTCCAGGCTAGAGCCCAGCTTCACACTTTCCTCCTTGAAGAGTTCCCACGTTGATCTACTGAATGAAAACTGGGCCTATGGGCGCAATGAACAAAGCCGCAGGTATCTGGCCAAAATGATACAACATTTCCCCAGTGTTGGCATCTTGAACCAGGCAGGTCACCTTATCAGCTGGACCATGATGGATGTTTTTGGTACACAGGCAAATGCGTACACCCTCCCATCATTCCGTGGAAAGCGATTTGGGGCTATAGTGAGTAAGGCAGTGATAATGAAAGCCTACAACACTGGTTATCCTATCTATGGCCTTGTTGCACTAGAAAATGTCCATGCGCAGAACGTGCTGGAAAAGAGAGGCCATCAGAGATTACCTGAGCTGAGCTACATGTGCCTTCATTACACAACTTAGCAGAACAGAGTGAGGAGAGAGGCTGTTTTCCTTGGTCTAACCAGATTTTTGTCACCTGCTCCTTGAACTCCAAGAGACACTTATGCACCCCCGATTGGATAGCTATTTAACCTGGCTTTCCCTCCCCTTCCTTCCCTAAGGCACCTCATCTTTAATTTTAGATTGTGAGCCTGAAGGCAGGTCCACAACTACTACAATTTGGTCTTTCATACAAGATGAAATCATTTTAAATGCTGAGAAAGAGAGAGAGAGACTTATGGAAAAAAACTTTCCCTTGATCCCAATTTGAGGCAGAAAAATAAAAATACCTTGAAGAGTGCTTGAAAGTTTTAGTGATCTGTAGCTCTGGGAGGGCTCTGGAGGCCATCAAGTGGGGGTGGAGGAAAACCATGTGGCACACAGACCAAGGAGTGTCCCCTCTGGCCATAGGATAGCCTGCCAGATGCCCGGGTGGATCAGGCCTGTGGAGAAGTATTTCTCTGCAATTTCTGTGTTTGTCAACTTGTCTTCAGCCAATGTTAGTTAGTTTGGCAGCCAGATCTAATCTTCAACGATTCATTCTTTGACCTAAGATAGTATTCAGGATTCGGATTCTATCTCATCCCCAAGTTCTCCACAGGCTCCCTACAGCTACTGGAGGTGGGATCATTTTGGCATTTGGGGAAGGTGCTAACTGCTGACCACACCAAGCCTTCTTCTTCTTCATCACATACCCTTGAGGAGGCAGTCAACAGCTTGGCATGCTCTATTGGTTATAATGGTCTACATGAAGAGGAACAAACAGAAATAAAATTCTGGCAAAAAAGAGCTGCTTTGGGTCAATATAAAGTTGGGGCTTGAGGTTTAATATTCATTCCTGTGTTTCATAAGCAATTGCATTCCACCCAAAGAGCAGGTTCATGATGTATGAATGTTCTCTGACCTTATTTGCTTTCTGGGATTTCAGCTTGTGACGTGCACAAACCCGTTCAGCTCAACAGCTGCTACCTTTCCTGAATTAACTCTGATTTGTCCATAGCTATTTAGGCCCTGTTTACGTCAGGTGTTGGCTCCTGCAAGAGGCTCTGGTAGGGCTGTCCTTCAAGAAACTCCATTGACATTGCCAATGACATTCTCACTGTCACATTTTAAAACCTGCAGTGCTTCAAGGACTCAGTTCCAAGCCAATGGGCTTTGCTTGTTACTGTATCTGCCTGTCTTTTGGTAGGGAAGAAGGAAGTGGGCTCTCTTATTAAGATCTGCAGGGCAGGCTCTTCTGAGGGCCCAAGAAGAGATATAATGAAATGCAGATCTGACAAAGGGTACTTAGTGCTGTCATTTAAAAAAGAGTTATCTTCTCAGCCAATCAGAGGCAAATTCTGAGCAGCCCATCTTTCGGTAGCATAAATGTGTTCAAAGTAGGGGTTGCAGGCACCTGGGGGCCTATGAGCATGTGGGGGGCCAATCAGACCCACATTCTTTCAAAAGACCAAACCTGTCATGGTCCGCTATGGGGCATACCATTGAGAAACCTAGATGTTTGCCTAGAGTGGCAGCCGAATCAGGCAGCGGATGAGCACATCAGTCAGCTTCCGACATTTTGACTAGGGCAAGCGCTAGACAGAGCAAAGAGATACAGAAAAGTCCTTTCCTGCCTTTGCTACCCCTAGTGGCCACCCAGAGGTTTGCACCCAGATCTGACAGCCCAAGTATTGTGGTTACCTGCCAGCTCTGCTGCACCCTTCAGAGCGTGCGCCAAGCTGCTGCTACTGCTGCCATTCCTCTCTGAGAGTGACTTGTTGTTCTGGCTCTTTCCAAATGCAGCTGCAGGAGAGGGATAAGAAAGAGCAGACTGTCTTCCTGATTGGCTCATCCCTCCTCACCAGTGGCCTGCTTTTTTGCCAAAATGGAAGTGCTTTTGTTATATATATGTGTGTGTGTGTGTCTGTGTGTACCTACATCTATACCTTTGTATTCATTTCTTTTGCATAGGCTTGATGGTTCATTTATTTCTTTATTGTAGAAAAGCATTATAAAAGGAATACACGAATACAAAATAAATAAATATGCTTAAAAACTATGCTTAGCATGGGCAAAATTACCCCTCTCCATTAAAAATAACATTGGCGCCCAATGCCTCTTACATGAAGCTAGGATGTGATGCTATGCCTTCTGTCAGTCCCACCAGGTAAACCAGATCAAGAATCAGCTCCACAGGAAGACTAACAATATTTCTATTGAGAATGACGATAATAACAGAAACTTGCAAATCTGATTGTATTCTGCCTCTTCCATTTTTATACTTATGTGAATTAGGGAGGTGTTTGTCTTACCCACTTACACATACTTTCTGCTTGATTTGGACTTAAGCCATGTTTTTCTCCTTGTCACTTTGTTAATGGATCCGGCCTATCTCTGTCAAGGTCATCTACTTTACTATCTATACCTTCAACCTGGAAAAAAAATGGGAGACACCAGACCAAGGCAGCAGTACAACAAGCAGAACAGCTAAAACACAAGCAGAAGTCTATTCAGAAGCTCTGGTTCCAACTTCTCCATTTTCCCCCCTTTGTTCACTAAAAGGGAACTTTACTTTTTTCCCTAAACACAGCGCATCAGGGCCCCAAGCGATGCCCTGTCCCCTCTGTTCCCCACCCCTCCAGATTATGACACGTGGGAGGGCCCTGCGATAGGAACAACTCAAAGGAGTAAAAGAAGGGCCTGGAGTGCTCCAGGGAGCCAGGAAAGACATCACATCCATGCCAATCTCACTGGGAGGGTGAGGAAAGGACGCAGCTCTCTGTCGCCTCTCTGACAGTCTCTCCAAAGTCGGTACAGAGCCCTGATCAAGGGATTGCTGGTTCAGATTTCAGCATGGGCAAACCAGATCTTGCACAAATCTGCTCTTCAACCTCTTCTCCCCAGTGAAAAGTTTGGGCCCTTCGATGTTAGTCTGTTCTGCCTAGCGTGTTTACCCGGCCCATAGTAAGCAAGGTCACTGGCCCCACCCTCTGCTATCTCCTATGGAACAGCAAGGCCAGAGACGGTGGTAACAGGTTTGGGAAACACCATAGCCTGCTTCCTCTTGTGTGAGGCCAAATGGAGGCCCTCACCTAATGTGGGATTCAGCATTTTCCTTCCTGGCTCCAAGGATTAATGGCTGGAAGGAAAGGCATTTACCTAGACCAGCTTATCCAACCCTGTGTCTCCAGGTATCTTGGACTAAATTTCCAGTATCCCCAGCAAACAGGGATATGTGGCTCTGGTTAAATTCTTCTCCCTGTGAACAACATATAGGTGGCCCTAGACAGCTGGTTGTATCTACCTTTGGTCCATCTTTCCAGATATCTCCTGGTCTTCTGAAGGTGGGAAAGGGACAAGTATCTTTTAGACAGTCACACGTGCAGTGTTTTTCCCTAAGCTACAGTGATGTTTATTGTGCTGCTTTCCAAGCAAAGGATTTGTGCTGATTTCAATTACAAACAGTGGCCTTAACTTAGCAAACTCTGCAGACATTTCTATCAGACATTTCTTCATTTTCTTAAGCGGCTCACTTGCTCCCTCCCCAATTCACAGGGTATTCCTTATAATGACTTTGATAAGGGAGCTTCAGTACTTTCACTTTTATGGATCAATTTTAACCTAGAGAGGAGAGGAGGAAGAGGGGAAAACGTTTTCCTGAGCCTTGGGGAATTCCACCTTCTAGGTGTCTGTGATAACTTGCATAGTTCTGGCAAACAGACGAAACCCATCAACTTTGGGATCAGTGACATCATCCCATGTCCACCAGGTCAGCTCAGCCTGTCTTATGGTTGTTGCTGAATAATAGCAGTGGAGCAACATGGAAGATATGATCCAGGCTGGCTGCAGTGGCCTCCTGTCTTACTGATTCCCATAGGTACTAACTTGGAGGTAACTGCAGACTGCCTAGAGAATATCCTTAAGCCAACTAGGAATCCTGAGTCTGTGTTTTGCCTTAGTACCTATTGGACCTTGAAGGAGGGTAGGGAGGAATGAAGTAAAGCAGGCAAGCTAAGCAGCATTAGACCTTCTATCTTCTTGGCCCATAAGGTGCCCTCTTGGATGGGAGCTCCAGATTATGCAAGGAAACATCCTCAGGCCCACAGGGGATCCAGTATCTTTTTTTTTTTTTTTTTAAATGAAAGAGCATCAGAAGCTTGGTTGTCTCTCCTATCTTGTTTTGGGTCAGAGAAATTCATGCTGAGCATACAAATATACTCATGAAACTTTGGTCTGCTCTTGTCTCTTTAACACAATTTTTTGTAGAAATTAAAGCTACCACACCTGGGCTGCATAAAAAAATCCAGATGAACATTAAATGGCAGCAAAGAGAAGACCCTAACGCTTTGCTGCCATCTAGTGATCATCAAGGGTTTTGCAGCCCATATGTGGTACCCCTACTAACAATCAGTCAACATTTCAAGAGCATGGGGACAATATCCTGCTAATTTCCTCACAACAAAATTGGCAGTTTGCCCAGAAGCAAAGCACTTCTGCTTTTGACTTTGCCATTCTCTGTTCTATCCAAGATTTGTGCCTTACTGTTAAAGTGACACTGGATTCTTAAAAAACCCTTTGACTACTATTGTAGGATTCCTGTGAAGAAGAATGGGACTCATAATTAGCATTGTGCTTAAGCTATATGCAAGACTCTTTTTGTAAAATCACACCAATACCTCCTTCTTTGTTAAATAAACAAATCTACAATAGTTCCTGCTTTGGATTTGCTTCCCCACTTTACAAATTTGGCTAATATAATATTTCTTTGTTATACTACGAATGGAGAAAATACTAAATTTTATAATTCTAGAGTGAAATCCCATGCCGTCCCGGCAATGTACATGCAGCGATGGAGTATGCTTAATTCACCTTTATCTAGTTGAAAAATTGACACTACCACATGGACACAATGATCCACTCAATCACATTTTGTCCTAAATACAGCTCCTTTACCTTGAAAACTGGTTCAGGAGGTTTTCCTGATCCCCATAATACAGTGAAAGGAATAGTCAAGTCACCTCTAACCCAAGCATAAAGATATTCTTTGTAGGAAGAACATCTGAGAGCCAAGGAGTGCATCTTGGAGATCACATACTCTAAGAAGTGAATGGGGCCAGGACAAAGTAAATTCATCAGGAGATATGGTTACTCATTATTAAACATTTGTATTTTTAAAAATGCCCTTCTCTCACATTATATTACCATTCAATTGCAGCCACCCTGACTTGTGAGAAATATTCTAGTAAAAAAACCAATACAAGCTAAGTGAAAACACAAGCTGTGAATGTCAATCATAGAACAATAAGCTAAAGTGTTTGAATTCTATTGTTCTTTAGTTTGTAACCAGATTGAATCAGGGCAAAACTATCTGCCAACTCAATTGTCTCCATACATTTTTCTGGGCATCCAGCACACAGGGCAAAGTAACTATCCTGTTAATGGTTCATTTTTCAGGAATAAAAGGCTGACTGACTGGATGACCAAGCAAGGATGGTGTCACGTGCCCTCTAAATCCCTTCATAATTGAAACTCTCCCTCCTCCTCTTCCCATTCTTCCTCCTCCTCCTCTGGGCCAGGTGTGTCCTTCTCACAGGTAAGCATGACACATTTCATTGCAGACAAGAAGATGTTGTACAGATAGGACAAAACATTCTTAGTTACCATTGCACCAATTATTCAGTACAAAATACATGGAAATTTATAGATACTCTAACGTAATTACCTTATAAATGACTAGGAGCCAATCTTGGACTTCAGGAAAGTGAATTTTAATAGAGTCTTACAAAAGTGGACAGCATACTGTGTCTTGAAATCCTAAAGGATAAACAAGCTCCAAAGAGATTACCTTGGGTGTGAAAAACAAAATACTGAAAGCAGAGGCACAAACTATTGCTTGAAAAAAGGGAAAGCATCCAAAATCCCTGTGGCCAAAAAGTGAACACATAGAGATGCTGAGAAGTGAAAAGGTGATATCCAGGAAAAAGAAAGAACCAACGAGGAGTAGAAACACATGGTTTGGGTCTGTAGGGATGGAATCAGAAGACTACAGATCAGAATAGGATGAGGCTGGCAAAGAAATGCCACCTGCTATGAAAGAGTGTTGCTTTGATACCTCCAAATTAAAAATGGATGGGGTGTTGCTTATGGAAAGTGGGGTAGTAATGGGGGGAGAGGGAGAAGGGAGAACTGTTGGCCTGTCTTTTCAATCAGAGGGACAATCCTCTTCCCAAACTGACTGAGGAAAGATGGGGAACACAGTTGATAAACCTACCATGCAATCCCAAAATGCTACCTGAAATTAAAGTCCCCAGGGGCAGGTGAATTATCCCAGGGTTGAAAGGAGCTAACCAAAGGGAACCCCCAACTACAGACTGGAAAACTGGGGAGATGCCAGAACAGCAAACTTAGTCACATTACTCAAGAAGCAAAAGACAGAGGAACCAGGAAATTTACACACTAGCATGGATTTGTCAAGAACAAGATGAGCCAGACTAACTCATTTAATTGGAATTTGCGGCTGTTGCAACAATCATACACCAAGATCTGCATCAACCTTGAAGGAAATTTCAAGTTGGGTCTCTGGGCTAGTCAACAACTTGATCAGTGACCCAGAGGGTGGAAGGCAGATGGGGAGATGTTGGTCAGATTTTTTGATGATATGAGCTAGGCTAATCATCTGAGGACAAAAATCACAACTCAAAATTACTTTGAGAGGCTTAATCCTTCCCAAATCTAACAGGATAGTGTTCATCAGTGACAAATATAAGGTCCTAGCTCTGGTGGGAAACATGAAGTGCATAGATGGAGGATTGGGGAAGCCTGGTGTGACAGCAGAGCCCGCGAGAAGTACTTAGGAGTCCAAACAGAGGACCGGCTGTACATGAGCAACACGATGATGCAGATTCCAGAAAAGTCATTGCAGTCTTGGGCTGCCTAAACAGAAGCAATGTGCCCAACCCACAGGAGGGAATCGTCCCATTATATCCTGCA